CCCCAAAACCCCAAAACCCCAAAACCCCAAAACCCCTTTAAGATTCAGTAGCTTAAATTTATTAGAAAAGTCATAAATGGAATCATCTATCCCAATCTAGCAGCACAAAGATATCCTCACTGAAGCTGGAATCGACTTCAATAATATTGAGAAGACCAGAAAGCACCTTCACAAGCATGCAGAAGGAGGATTCAAAGAGTTCAAAACCAAAGAGACTATTCTCAAGTATTTTACAGAGATCTCCAAGGAAGATATCAGAGAATATGCTACCACTGGTTTTACCATCGACATCAAAGGCACTGCTCCTCCCACTGACAACGGCGAATGCAATGTCATTGCTCTCAGAGCTGACATGGACGGCCTGCCCATGAAGGAAGAAACTGGAGTTGAGTAAGCTTCAATAACAGAGTATGCCCACCTATGTGGCTATGATGGCCATATAGCCATATAGCAATGCTAATAGCTACAGGGATATACCTGAAGAAGAATAAAGACAAGATTCCTTCTAACAAGACAGTGAGGCTGTCGTTCCAGCCAGCTGAAGAAAGACTTGGAGGAGCTGATATTATGGTAAAAGAAGGGTGCCTTGAAGGAGGTGATGAAATCTATGGATATCATCAAGTTCCCCATGGCCAAGAAGGTACTATATCTATTAAATCTGGCGCTTTGATGGCTGGAAGAGATAATGTATTTATTCAAATTGAAGGTTAGGAGGTCATGGATCTGAACCCGCTAATGCTATTGATCCTATCACTGCAGCTTGTCACCTCCACAGTGCCTTCCACACGATCAAGTCTTGGAACACCTTCAATACGGATGTGGTTGCATTCACGATTTGTGAACTTAATTCAGGAACAACTTTTAATGTTATCCCAAGAACAGCAGAGATGAAAGGACCTATTAGATATTATGACGAAGATGTCAGAAAGAAAGTTGTAGAAAGAATCAGAACACTCTCCCAAGAAATCTGTGAAGGCTTCAACTGCAAGTCTGAAGTGACCATTGGTCCTAGCTACCCAGCTGTTATCAATAGTGAGAAACAGACTAATATTGTAATCGAGGTTGCTGGAAAGGAACTAGGAGAATCTTCTATAAATACTAAAGATCATTTGCCTATGTTTGCAAGTGAAGATTTCTCATTCTATCTTCAGAAGATTCCTGGTGAGTTCATTTTCCTAAATAATATAAAGCCAGGAGAAAAGCCAGTGTCTTTACACTCATCTTATGTAGATTTCAACGATAACATAACTGCAGCAGGCATCTACATGAATTTGAAAATCTTGGAGCACAGACTTGGCATATCCTTATTGTAGGTATTCGAATAAACTAAGCCATTATCCAAGTTTGTATCACTAATTCCTCTCCAATATTTCTAAAAGATATCCTATCTTAATAAACCCTAACTAAAATGTAAAAGTCACATTCTCTCTCCTTGTAAGAATCTTTGCGCTAAAGTTTTCAGAGATTTGCCTCCATTTTTAGGATCATGAAGGATTCATTTCTCTACTCTAATGCTCAGTTTCAGCTAATGGAGCATTTTAAATGAACTTTAGACTGCATATCCACTTCTTTTGTACATAAAGACCTTTCTCTTCTGAACACTTGTGTGTGGCCATAATAAAGAACATCTGTTAAGACTGAGATGCTAAATTTGTGTTTGAATTTAGTGATTAAAATGGGAATATAGCACAGGAGTTAAGGAAAGTCATATTTGAGATATGGCTATATTTTCAATTTAGATTTTTAAGAGGGGTTTTGGGGTTTTGGGGTTTTGGGG